AGACCTTGGCCGGTGGGGTGGTTTACTCCTACTGGCTGGCACTCGATGTAGGACCGGAGGGCATTCGATATATAGTCAGCAGTAGTCTATGCGTAGGTGTGCACATGAGTGTGATTATTGTACTATTGATGGGAGAATAGGATAGATTATTGCTTCGTATACATGCTGAGACCATACCTTGTGATTATTGATTACTGTTTATTATTGAGATTAACATCTATTGCATAGTGGTGAGCACTACTTTTCATCTTGTGCTCATCCCCACCTGCTCTTCATGGATGCAGGTTAGATAGAGCGGCACGACGGAAGGGATGCGAGTGGTGGTCTTTAATTTGAATAAATGCTTCTGCTTTGAATTGAACTTGGATATTATTGCATTATTAATGACTATTGTTTTTCTAGTAATGGAGTATTGGATTATTGATAGGGATTATTTCTCTAGGATCATTATTGGATTATTTATTGATTATTGGAATTTTCATATTGATTATGAGTATTGATAATTGCCGAATATTGAGAAAATGTCAAGCATTGATTATTGTTTTTGAAAATGAGTAGCGCCTCAAATATTGTTTTTGAAATAAATTCGAAAAAATTTTATTCTGATTTTCGGTAAATAAAAGTGGGGTGTTACAGTTTGGTATCAGAGCCAGTCTGCGTTTCTGTAGACTGGTTTAAGTATAAAAAAAAAGTTGATTATGTGATTATGTGTTTCGAATTCATGTTAAGACCACTCGCTCTCGTCGTGTCGCGCCAACTCAGGTATGAGTACCTGAATGACTTTGAGATTACTGTATACCGTTTGATTATTGATTGTTGGAATGAAATCGGGATTAGGACTAATCCACCTTTAAATGTGAACTCTAGTGTTGAACTCTAGACTTCTTTTATTATTGTGCTAAACTGTTCGATCCATTTTCAATGTAGAACTATGGCTCGTCGTAATTCTCGCAATCGTCAGCCTACTCTGTCTCCACCTCCGTCTCCATCCCCATCTCCACCTCACCAGCAGGCTCCCAATCCGGCTGGGGCTCATCTCAAAATCATGCTCCAGTTCTGGAGTCTAACTCCGCCAGAATTTCATGGGACTGAAGGGCCCGAGGCTGTGGCAGAGTGGATCCGTCAGTTAGAGCAAAACTTTGACCTTCTGCAGTGCTCTGACGAGCAGAAGGTTATTTGTGGCCGTTATATGCTTAAGAGAAGTGTCGCCTTATGGTGGTCCGACTATTGGAGGTTGAGGCAGGCGGAGTTTAATGTCCTGACTTGGGATCGCATGAAGGAGGTGATCATGGAGAAGTATTATCCTCAGGGTTATCGCATGAGGATGGAGCGCGCTTTCTGGGATCTTACTCAGGGGACTGGTACCGTTGAGGAGTACGAGCGGGAGTACAACCGCATGAGCGCTTTTGCTCCACATATGGTGGACACCGACCTGAAGAAGGCCCACAAGTTCCGGGATGGGCTGAACCAAACCCTCCGTATGCATGTTGCTAGCCAGGGAGATCTTTCCTTTAATGATACCGTTATTCGAGCCACCGAGCTTGAGAGTTACTAGAATCTCAATGCTTCTGCCCCTTCCGCTCAGCTAGTTTAGCCTATTTCCTCCGCACCGCCCGGCTCTAGTTCGGGCAAGAGAAAGTTTGATTCCCACCGGGATAACCGGAAGGGAAAGCGCAGTGGGAATGACCGTCGTGGTGAGTGCCCCTTCGCACGAGACCAGTTTCCGAGGTGCCGTAACTGTGGTCGTTATCATCCGGGAGAGTGTCGGTACACCCAGCGAGTTTTCTTCAACTGCATGAAGCCCGGTCATTTCTTCAGTGCTTGCCCCGAGCCCCCGAGGCAGCATGCCCAGCAGCAACAGCAGCAGCAGCTTCCCCCTCCACCTTACCAGCAGCAGCAGCCCAGACAGCCCCCACCACCACACCAGCAGCGGGCAGGAGGTCAGGCCCGAGTCTATACCCTTGCTCATGACGAGGCAGCCAACAACGCAGGTACCATGTCTGGCATGATTTCTTTATCCAATGTGCCTATCTTTGCGTTATGTGACAGTGGAGCTACTCATTTCTTTATCTCCTCTTGATGCTTGGAGGCCCTGTCTATTGATAATGTGTGCAACTGTGACCCTCTCGAGGTTAGTCTAGCCTCGGGAAAGATTATTATTTTTGATTCTATGATTTCCAGTCTTCCAGTCAGTATTAGTGGGCGTGTTTTGGAGGCCGATTGTTATGTGATTGAAATGCGGGACTTCGATGTGATCTTGGGCATGGACTGGCTCACTCGCTATCGAGCCGATATCCGGTGCCAGGAGCGCGAAGTCAGTCTCTTCCTCGTTTCCGATTAGCCTGTTATTTTCTATGGGGTGAAGTCGAGGATTGTGCCTCGAGTCATCTCTTATATGAAAGCTAGGAAGAGCCTTTCTAAGGGTAGCTGTCAAGGCTATCCTGTTTCTATGTTATCCGAGGACAGTTCTGAGAGGTCCCCGGGGAGAGTCTCTATTGTCTGCGAGTATCTTGATGTCTTTCCTGATGAATTGCCCGGAGGACCGCCTGACCGCCAAGTGGAGTTTACCATTGATCTAGTACCAGGAACCGGCCCTGTTTCTAAGGCCCCTTATCGTATAGCGCCGAAAGAGCTTCAAGAGCTCAAGACCCAGATCCAGGAGTTGCTCAATCTTGGTTTCATTCGTCCGAGTGTTTCGCCGTGGGGAGCGCCCGCCCTATTCGTGAAGAAGAAAGATGGATCGATGCGCATGTGTATTGACTATCGGGAGTTGAATGCCCTTACAGTCAAGAACAAGTATCCCCTTCCTTGCATTGAAGATCTCTTCGACCAGTTGAGAGGAGCCAGTGTATTTTCGAAGATCGATTTGCGTTCTTGCTATCATCAACTGAAGATTCAGGAGTCGGATATTTCTAAGACTGCCTTCCATACCTGTTATGGCCACTATGAGTTCGTAGTCATGCCGTTCGGACTCAGCAATGCCCCGACCGTTTTTATGGACCTTATGAATAGGGTTATTCATCCTTTCCTGGACCAGTTTGTTATCGTGTTCATCGACGACATCCTGGTTTATTCCCGAGACATCGACCAGCATAAGGAGCATCTGAGGATTGTGCTGGAGACTCTTCATCGTGAGAAGTTGTATGCTAAGTTCTCGAAGTGCGAGTTTTGGCTGGATCGTGTGGCATTCCTTGGCCACATTGTGACAGCGAGAGGCATTGAGGTGGATCCCAGCAAGATCGAGGTAGTGAGCAAGTGGGATACGCCAATAAGTGCCGCTGATGTTCGTAGTTTTCTGGGGTTAGGAGGATACTATCAGAGGTTTATCGAGGGTTTCTAAAAGATAGCCCAGCCACTAACCAACCTTACGAAGAAGGTCGTGAGGTTCGATTGGATTCCTAGGTGTGAGGAGAGTTTCCAGGAGTTGAAGAGGAGACTTACTACCGCACCCGTTCTATCCATTCCCGACCCTACGTTGGAGGTCACCATCTATAGTGACGCTTCGAAGATGGGTTTGGGATGTGTCCTTATGCAGCAGGGGAGGGTCGTAGCCTATGCTTCGAGGCAGCTGAAGCCTCACGAACAGAACTACCCCACTCACGATCTTGAGTTAGCTGCAGTCATTCACGCCTTGAAGATTTGGCAACACTATCTCTATGGAGGCAAGTGTGAGATTTTTACCGACCACAAGAGCCTAAAGTACATTGTCACTCAGAAGGAGCTGAATATGCGGCAGCGTAGGTGGTTGGAACTGGTTAAGGACTACGATGTCACGATTAGCTACCATCCAGGGAAAGCTAACGTGGTAGCCGATGCCCTTAGTCGGAGGAGTTATGGCCAGTTGTCCTGTATTTTTACCGAGCAAGATGTCCTTCTTCGAGAGTTCGAGCGGCTACAGCTAAAGGCAGTGGAGTCACCTTCGACAGCCAGGGGTATGTGGACCTCTTTGGTTGTAGGACCGACTCTTCGTGAGAGGATAGTCGCCGAGCAATCGAATGATCGTTTCCTTTGCCGGATGAAGGAGTTGTCGGAAGCCGGTAGAGTTGGAGGATTCACAGTCGCATCTGATGGGGCCTTGGTCTCCGAGGGTAGACTTTGTGTTCCGAAGGTGTGGGAATTGCGAAAGGAGATTTTGAGAGAGGCCCATAGTGCCCCGTACACCGTCCATCCTGGTAGTTCGAAAATGTATCAGGATCTGAGGAAGTCTTTCTGGTGGCGATATATGAAGAGGCAAGTGGCGAGGTTCGTGAATGGGTGTCTGGTATGTCAGCAAGTGAAGGCTGAGCATCAGAAACCGAGAGGGAAGTTGCAGCCACTTGAGGTTCCCTTCTGGAAGTGGGAGTGCATCACTATGGTTTTCTTGGTGGGATTTCCGAGGTCGAGGAATGGGCATGACTCTATTTGGGTGATTGTGGATCGCCTTACGAAGTCTGCCCACTTTCTGCCAGTCCGGACGACTATGAAGGCTAGTCAGTATGCCGAGTTGTTCGTGGATGAGATTGTCAAGCTTCATGGAGTTCCCGTGGAGATCATGTCTGATCGAGACGCGAAGTTCACTTTTCAGGTCTGGAAGACCCTGCACCGAGCCATGGGGATGAGGGTGGAGTTCAGTACAGCTTTTTATCTTCAGACAGATGGCCAGTCGGAGTGGACGATCCAGTACTTGGAGGACATATTGAGGGCTGTGGTCTTGGACCGTAGCCTAACCTGGGAAAGTGCATTGCCATTGGTAGAGTTGACTTACAACAATAGTTACCACTCCATGATCAAGATGGTCCCATTCGAGGCTTTGTATGGACGTAAGGTCCGAACACCCTTGTTCTGGGATGAGGTCGGGGAGAGGAAGATCTTGGGTCCGGAGTTCATTCTTAGAGCTGCGGAGACAGTTGAGGCTATCCGGAAGCATATCCGGTCAGCCCAAGAGAGGCATAAAGTCTATGTCGACCGGAAGAGGGATGAGCATGAGTATGCCGTCGGAGATCACGTCTTCCTGAAGGTCTCGCCCATGAAGGGTGTGATTCGCTTCGGGAAGAAGGGGAAGCTTAAACCGCGTTATATTGGGCCCTTCGAGATCCTTGCCCGAGTCGGGAACTTGGCTTATCGGGTGGCTTTACCACCTAGCTTGTCGGGAGTGCATGACGTGTTTCACGTCTCGATGTTGCGGAGATACGTGCATGATCCCGGTCACGTGGTGGACTTCGGCGAACTGCAGGTCGAGCGAGACCTTACCTACAAGGAGGTATCGGTAGCTATTTTGGACCAGAAGGTCCATCAGTTGAGGAACCCGGCAGTGAGCTTGGTGAAGGTGCTTTGGAGCCGACATGACGAGTCAGAGGCGACTTGGGAAAAGGAGGCCGAGCTTCGGAGGTGATATCCGAATTTTGAGTTTTGAGTCCCCTCTGTATTTTTATTGCTTTCTGGTTTATTTTCGAATTCCGAGGACGGAATTCTTTGTAAGGTGGATAGACTGTAATACCCCGTTTCATTTTGGATTATTGAAGAATAGGTATTGATTATTGCTATTATTAAATTGTCTTAATTATTATTATCATTATATTTATTATTATTATAATTGCTATTAATTGTCAAATTGCTATTATTTATGTGTTATTAGTAATATTGCTATTATTAATATTAATTGTCTAAATATTATTAATTGTCAAATTGTAATTATTTTTCTAAATGCATATTTTTTACTACTATTATTATTATTTTAAAATATGATGTGTATTATAAATAAAGATAATCCAGATTAATTTATTACTCGCCGTCGATCGAGCATCTCGAGAATTCTTATATCGCGTATATTTTATTTCGGCCCGAAGCGACTTAATTCATCGGCCTTTTTGCCATTCTTTTCTAGCCAACGTAATTAATTTCGCGGCCCAACTCCTTATTGATTTTTGGCCCAAATTGAGATGTTTATGCCTTAGCCCAATTAGAAGATGATTTATTTTGGCCCATGAGATGTTGAGCTCTCAGTCCAGTGAATTTTCTCTTCTTCTGATTGCTTCTTCGACCAAGTCGTCGCGTTCAATTTCAGGTAGCAATTTTGTGGGAGATTCTCTTGGCACGATCACGCGATAATCGTCTCCTCACCCCTTCAATCTGACCGTTCTCACCTTTATCCCTCTCTTCTACTTAAACCGGTGAGAAACCCTTCGATCAGTACCCCAATCTCTCAATTCTCTCGCAATTAAATTGATTTTGTACCTGCAAATTCTGCCAACAAGCCTTCTTGCCATTGTTGCCGGCGATCGCCACCATGCACCGTTGCAGCAGCTGCTCCCGGCGTCCTGTTCGTGAGCCATAGCCACCGCCCCGTTGCGACCCTTTTCCAGCGAGCACCGAGCAGCGTCCTGCCGTCGCCG